GAAGCGAGGCACGCAGCTGGGCATCGATGATAGACCACTGTTCATAAGCCGGATTTGGTTTGACAGCCGGCTCCTTGTCAGCAGCAGCCGGTGCCTTCTCATTAGGTATGGTTGGCGGGGGCGGCATGAGGGTTCCGTCGACATATTCAAACAACCGGTGAGCAACGAGCGTAGCCTTCACGGTAGATGACCACGAGGGATAATTATTATCTTCCAATTTTGTGGGTACGAGGGAGTGAAGATTGCGGAGAAAAAGTTTCAAACCGCCAGGAAGGTCGGCAAAGGGATCACCGGTCTTCGACATAGGTAACGATCAAAAGATCACTGTAAGAGGAGGATGGCTGTGAAGCCGAGAAAGAGAAAGAAACGGCGTCAAGGCCTAGAGTTTGGGAGAATATCTGAGCTCCGATACCATGATAGAATATAGACAAACAATATATTTCACACACAGAGAATGAATACAATCCAGAGTATTTATAGGAGTAAGTCCTATATAGACTAGGAATAGGAAAATAGAAGGTGACTAGGATACAACAACTATGATAACTAAAACAACCACAACTAGGAGTCCTATGACTGTCTAACAACTTGCAGGGTCACAGAGTCAAGGGAATGATTTATGGAATATATATTCCTTTCGTTGATGACCGCCTTCACTTGAACAAAACATATGTCATATCAAATGCCAGTGTGACTCCCGTCATGGAAAGATACTCAGTTCCCGATGAACAATATAGATACACTTGGACACTGAATAGGAGAACATTGATTATCGATGTCAATCCAGATCACCAGCTCTTTATCCAACCAAACCTCGAGGCACCTATTGACCCATTTCACACTTTTTATACAGCTATGCTAAACAAGTCAAATATAAGTAAGTGACTAATATATAAAAACTTCCTTCCTCTACGTACTTTTCCTCTATCTGTGCATAATGTTGAATTCATTACTAACAGATGTGCTGGCAACTGTAATTGCTAAACTACCAAGGCAGTTTATTTTCACTTCACAGGGGAAACAAAGAATAAGCGATTTAGTTCTCATGAACCAGGAGTATGCCACTACACCTATTACTTAACAATGTATACTTAACACGAAATAAAACATCATCACTTCCCGATATGCAGATGTAAGCCGATCATCTTAAGAATGTGGGACGATTTCGCAACACTTCAGGGAACTTATATCCAAGAGTTACTGAATGCAGACACATACCCAATTATCTTCGCAAAGAGGATTCTGGCCACCTCTTACCAAGGTCAGAATCTAACATTGTACACCACCCAAATTATTATAAACATGACTACAACTAAATACATTTTACTTTTTTCACATTTACAACAAACAGGGCTGACACTCACAACTCGTTACGATACATCCATCGAGATACACCCAACTATCTCACCGACGGTTGCTCTAAATGAATGGTAAGCATATTTACTATCCACTGTTCTTTACTTTTTTTCCAGCGATTATGTTTCATATTAAACAAACACATTATAGGACATCATTAAACACGGATGCTATCAAGAACGCCATTCACTCACAACTTTACAAGGACGCTTTAAGTATCTTTGTGGCTCCGGAAGACATTCAGAAAACAGCCATCTCAGCGGTCCTAGCTTCATACAAAGAGGTTCGTATGTATTCATATTCACACCGTACACGTTCATGACATCCTTAATTTCCATTTCATTCAAAAATAGATAAATCTCTCTTAAATTGACTTCATACAACCATTCTTAAATAAAGATCAACATCATACCTTCATAATTACCTAAGGTTTTCATAATAAAATATCTAACAAATAAAGATTCTTACAACTTAGGTTTTTTCTTTTCACTCTTCACATCAGGGATGTCTTCAATTTTCCATATGCAAACTTTCTTTATATCAATAACATGTGTAAGTTCAGATATAAACAAAACAGATTTAAAAAGCAGCACATGTTTAGAGTGGAGTGCCAGTCTCTGAGGCACACATTGACCCAATTAACATAGCCATATAAAAAGTGTGAGATGGGTAAATGTGTGCCTCAAAGAATGGACTCCACCCCTTCAGATCTAAACAAAACAGATTTAAAAAGCAGCACATGTTTAAAGTGGAGTGCCAATCTTTGAGACACATATTGACCCAATAAGCATAGCCATATAAAAAGTGTTAAATGGGTAAATATGTGCCTCAAAGAATGGACTCCAACCAATCACGCACATGTTTGTTCCTGCTTCTCAAACCATTCAGGTTTGTTTAGGTGTTTTGCCAAATTAGAAACATTTTTTACAGGTTTGTTTAAGTGTTTCTAAACAAACCAGTTAACAGTAACACAATCCTGCAAGATCATGCAGAAGTTCTTTCTTCAGGTTTGTTTAGGTGTTTCTAATTCATCCCCAAATTAGAAACTTTTTTTTTTAAAAAAAATTCAGCATGATACTGTTACCACATTCTTTTAATTAGAGAAACACAGTCCCGGCACACGTTAGCCACCGCCACCCTCCTCCCGTTTTATATTTCACATTCCGGCGGCCGTACTATAGATGCGAGGGGGATCATTGTGTTGGCGCTGGCCACAGCGTGCAGATTAATGGTCGCGGTCGGGTTGACACTAGACCCGACCTGACTCTCTGACGTGTCCATGCGCAGACGGCTCAGCATGGAGTCGTCCGAGCTGGAAGCAGCTTCGATCGACTTCGGGGGTATGCAGAGAAAGGAGCCAATGGCGGTCCTGCATCCTGAGTCGGCGGCTGACGTGGCGCGGCTCATCCGAGCCACGTACGAGTCCGAGCACGAGTTCGCGGTATCGGCCTGGGGGCACGGCCAGGCGGGGGTGAGGGACGGGATGGTGGTGGAGATGAGCGGCGGTGGCGTAGGAAAGGGGGTGAGGGTGAAGGTGAGGACGTAGGGGATGTACACGGAGGTGAGGGGCGGGGAGCTGTAGGTTCCCAGGCAGAATTATCGTATAGCACATTGCAGCGCAAATACACAACGATATCAAACACCTAGATCTAATGGACCAGGAAAGCCTGAAATTTACCCAATGTCTAGGATATGTATTTACTTTCGGAGGTATATAAATACTTAATTAGGAATTGAAATTGAATTCTTAGGAAGTGAATTGGGTGCTGGGCACATATAATTGATTAACACAATATAAACACATGTTTCAGGTATATAGAAACAAGAACTCCCACGTTCCAAATCTAATCAGTCTATATATTAATGCTATGTTTTCAACTGACCGAATGGTAGTGAAAGTTATACAAAAAGATGGTGAAACTATTCTCTTCTAAAGTAAAAAACACATTAAAATGCTCTTCACATTGCAGTCCTTCATATTGTATTTCCCTTTTTTTCTTTTCTATACACTTTAACTGTTATCATTTGCCAAACACCCATTTCCTATTAATATCATAAGTCATGTATTCATGACGAAATATACTGGATAGAGGGCCAATTAGAACTTCAAGAACATGGGCCAATTACTTACTACATCGGATGTAGTACTTGTAATCGCAAGGTTGAGTTTCAGGAGGAAACTACCTACCAGTGCATGGAATGCGGAGACAAGGAATCAACGACTATAAAAAGGTCTATACTCGTGTCATCTAGAATATTCATAACACTTTCATTTCTTACTCCGCTCTAACATAATAACAAAAATATACAGGTTCAGAGTCTCTGCTGACCTCGGTGATGAGGAAAACAAAATACAGTTCACTCTATTCACAGAAAATCTGAAAAAAATTGCACGATCACTAGAGCTGAACACACCGTTGGAATTAATGGACATCGATGATCTGAACAAAGGGCTGAAATCACTGGTCATCACAGCTGCTGTGCAGGTGCAGCGACCCACGTACCAAAGACAAGAAAAAGGGCCAATTATGCCTACATCAGCTTTCTGACAAACTCACCAAGTCTGCACTTCTAAAGAGAAAACAAACTGCAAGCCAAGAAGAGTAAAACATATGCAGAAGAAAATAATAAGTTCACTTCCAAACCAGCTGCCTCCAGTAAAGAAAGTATTGAAAATGACACCTAACCACTGTGGATGTCATTTTCAGATTTTGTTAGATCAGTTGTAAGATATGTAATGCTATGCTACTATAACTCTTATGTTTAATATGGTGTATCACTGTAATCATCACCCTTTTTGTAAACTTAAAGACATGTAAAATATATATATAAGTAATGCTATGCTGCTGTTAATGTATCCTTACCCGTTTTGTAAAATAGTATACATATTTTAATCTACTACATGCGCACCTTCTATGGATCAATGTATTTTTCTTAATAAATGCAACCCTTTCTTAAACATGCTTGGGCAAACACACACGTAGTGTGTGCCCTGCTAGTATATATATATATATATATATATATATATATATATATATATATATATATATATATATATATATATATATATATATATATATGATATTGATCTGGCTTGGACTTTTACCAATATTGATTTCTAAATTAACCTCTTCTTTCTTTTTCTTTAACTAATTCTTGGTCATTCCATTCATGCCAATTAGTACGGAGTATTATCAATTACGAGTAGTATTCCAATTCTACTTCATATCTCTCTTGTTTTTTAATGTTCTCTTATCGTATCTGGAAACATTAGATCTAGACCTAGCAAAAAGTTATCCGACTTGTTTTTGACCCGAGACTCAACTCGAAGATACTGAGCTGGGTTTTAAACTCGAAGTTGACCGAACCCGAAATTATCCGTTAAAAATGGGTCAATCCCAACCAAACCCGACATGACCGACCGCAACTGTAAGATTTTTTTCAAAATCATATGCTTTAGTATGTAAATTAATGTTATACAAATAAGATTTTAATTATATTTCTTTGCTTATTACTCAATTTTAATGTATAAATTTATATTTTCATATAAAACTTTAATGATATCGCATAATTGTCTTACTTTTTTCAAAATTTATGCATATTTAGTTTTTTATTCATAATATTAATACTCGGTCATAAAAATTACTTAAAATTTCAAAAAGTAAATGAAAGTCATAACTCGTTGGGTCAACCCAAACCCGATGAAACTGGATCATAAACATGTAGCTCTTAACCCGAACCCGAACTTACCCAAAACCGAAGTAACCCAAATCCAAGGTGACCGAATCTGAACTCGACCTGACTGACCATTTTGCCACCTCTTATTTGATCTATGTTTTAAACATAAGACGTTACCCCCACAATTTAGTTATTCCCTCCGTCCTAAAACTTTCTTCCCAAAGCACTATTCCAACTTCATGAGAATTTATATTTATTTGTGTTTTTTCATGGCCTATATGATAAAATAAAATATTCTTGTCACCACTTGTTTTGTTGAACTTTTGATGTAGTTTTTAAATATGTATGTTTTATTTTTTATTTCTATACCAATATTTAAATAAAATAAATTGAAAAAACTTGAAATTTTTCTTCGTTTTGCGAACCGGGAAGAAAGTTTTAGGATGGAGGGAGTATAATGTAATACATGCCAAATTTGTATGACATTTATTTATTTATTTATTTATTATTCTAAGTGTAATCCCAATAAAAAAACACATTTTATTGTTGTAGTTGTACTTTGAAAAAGAAAACTTTCTAATTTACTTTAGTAACGGTTGTCGGAAGAAGACAAAGACATGAAAAATTGTTTAAATGGTTTTTCGTACCAATTTTCTTTTGTTATGAATGGAAGATATAATCGTGTTGATAATGGTGTTGTTGATGAAACACTTTTATACTCCAATATTTAATGAGAATAATGATTTGTTGTTCCCGTGACGCTTAATTATGATTTTATTAATAATGATGCCCCACACCCTAGCCCGACCAGGAAGACTGGATGAGATAAATCAATAACTGAACAAACCGTTAAGGATAGGTGATGGCTATAAACTACCGAGAATAAAGAATAATATAAATTTTAGAGAGAGAATGCAAAGTAGGAGTTTATTCGTTCTAAACTTGGATCCATTACAATGAAGGTCTCGCCCCTTTTATAGGGGATACAATACACATAGTCAAAGTTTCTCTGATCGAGGTTCGTCGCCTAACGGACGTCATCTCTGTTATGCGTTGTCCCTTTCATCCCGTCGCTATCGCGCAGTCAACGTGGCCGGTCGCTATCCACCGGTCGCTATCACAATCCCTAGCCGAGCTCGCAGGCCGAGCCGAGCCCATAGGGCGAGCTGAGCTCATGGGCCGAGCAGAGAAGATCTTCCACGTGGCTGATGGGGTCCGGCTGACTTGTCTTTTGGAGCCGTCCTCCATCATAAGCCCCCCACTCTCCGGGTTTCGTTGCAATCGGCGATGAAACACGAGAGAGTATGGGTACTGTAGGAAAGCGGCGTGGGGGCCCACGTGGAGGAGTTGGCAGGCAATTGGTGCCGTTTGGGCTTCGCCATCATGAAGGGGTGCGCCGTTTCGCCTCCCCAGGCCAAGTGGCGGCCCATCATTGCACCCATTCAACCCTCCCTCTATAAATACCAACCCTACCCACTTCATTCTCCACTTTTAGAGAGAGAAAGTAGAACTCTTCACCGTCGCTAGCCTTCCCGCCGTCGTTCTCATCCATTTTCCGGCTCCGTACTAGGTTAGTCTTCCTCGGCCTTGCTCTTCCATGTCTTCCCAATCCTCAGTCTTTCGTCAGTCCGAGTCCGAGCGCGATGCCGAGGGCTCTGTCAAAGGCTCCGCGCAGGAGAGCGACTCCCGCTCGCCCTCCGTCGAGGAGATAGTCGCGACGGTTGAGGTCCCTCCTCAGTCCCAGCCTCGCAATCAGAGGCGCACCACTCTGGAGGACTCGGGGATCTGTGCACGGAAGTGCACCCTTACGGTGGAGGAATTCCGCAAGGCGAAGCGCCTGGCCTCGGCGCCGGGCATGACTGTGCGCCGTCCCACCCCCGAGGAATCTGTCTTTGACGCTCCTCCGGGTTTCTTCACCATCCACCTCAAGTCCCTCGAGTATGGGTTCCGCTTCCCCCTCCATCAGTTAGTCAAAGATTTTTTCCTCCATTTTGATTTTCTCCCCTGCCAAGTCGTGCCCAAATCCCATCGTTACTTGGCGGGGTTCCTTATTCAATGCCAAAGGACCGGGGTTCGCCGCGATCTAGCCCACTTCCTGTTGCTCTTCCGGGTGGCGAAGTCGTCTGGCCGCGCGAACTCCGACTCGGGCTCGTATGCCTCTATCTTCCAACGGCAAGAGAAGCTCTTCAAAACGAGGAAGGACTCCGCCAAGAGTTAGAAGGGGAAATTTATCTTCGTTTCTCTTACCTCGGGCTCCCCTTTTCGTGAAGAACCCCTCAGCTCCTTTCGTCGCCGTTCCGTGTGCGTCACCTCAGACAAGATGCTTGAGGATGTAGAGACGCTCTGCTGAGGGGGGCCCTTCGAAGTTGGCTCGCTGGTGACAAATGAGGCGTTGGCAGCACTCGGCTTCGTCTTCCTATCCCTGGAAGACACTCAGCGGAGCATCGAAGAAGGCCCCTCAGGTCAGTGCGATCTCCTCGGGTCGCGACCACCTCGGACTTCCCAACATTGCCTTTTTGCACCTTAAGTCCTCGCCTCACCACTTGTCTTCTTTGGTTTTGTGCAGGTGAAATCATGCTCTCCAACGCCGAGCGGGTGAAGCTCATGTTCCCAGACGCTCCGAGCAACAGCTCACAGGTCCCTGCTTCGGGCGGCCGTCCCCCGACTCCACCCGTGAAGCCGACCTCCGAGACGGCCCAGAAGAAGAAGAGGAAGGAAACGGCCTCGGTCGCCGACGCTCCGCAGGGGTCCGAGTCCCCCATGATGAAGGATTTCGGCAACCGTAAGTATGTCAAGAAGAGGAAGGAAACGGCCTCGGCTTCCTTTCACGAGCTAGGCTCGGTAAGTTTCCTTTGTCATGTCTCATGAATGTAACTCAGATATTGTACTCATCCCTTAATTATGCACAGACGATGATGCGCATGGTCTGTAATACCCCGTATCAAGATGGGAATGGGAAGAGCTCAAAAGGATTGATAGTACTACTCATACCAACAAGGTGCATCTTCTTTTCAAGAGCTCATCACCTAGAAACTCTAGAGTTAAGCGTGCTTGACCTGGAGCAATTCTAGGATGGGTGACCCCCTGGGAACTTTCCTTGGGCGCGCACGAGTGAGGACAAAGTGCGCGGGAAAGACTTGTGTTTGTTTGTGGGGTCAGTCTACAATCCTATGAGCAGACACTTACGGCTAGGGCTGGGGCCAGGGTGTTACAAATGGTATCAGAGCAACCCTGCGACCGTGACGGGCCAAGAAGAGCTTAGTTCACATAGCGGGGAAGATCTAGGATTTTCAAAAAAAAAGGATGCAATGAGGACGTTGCATTTCTAAGTGAGGGTGAATGTAATACCCCGTATCAAGATGGGAATGAGAAGAGCTTAAAAGGATTGATAGTACTACTCATACCAACAAGGTGCATCTTCTTTTCGAGAGCTCATCACCTAGAAACTCTAGAGTTAAGTGTGCTTGACCTAGAGCAATTCTAGGATGGGTGACCCCTTGGGAACTTTCCTTGGGCGCGCACGAGTGAGAACAAAGTGCGCGGGAAAGACTTGTGTTGGTTTGTGGGGACAGTCTACAATCCTATGAGTAGACACTTACGGCTAGGGCTGGGGCCGGGGTGTTACATGGTCGACATGAGCCAACGGCTACGCGTTAGTGAAGATGACCAGACCAGGGCCTACGTCGAGATCGCCGACCTGAATGAGGAGCTGAAGGCGGCCAAGGAACAGGCGCAGCAAGCCAAGGAACAAGCTCGGCAAGCCGAGGAGGCTGCTCGCAAGGCGCATCAGGAGGGTCGCGATCAGGTTGTGGCCGAGTTCCTGACGTCAGACACGTTTCAGGAAGAAGCCTTCGCTCGCATGAATGATTTGATCAAGGCATGGGGGCAGACTCCCGAAAGGAAGGCATTCGCTCGCTCTGAGGGACGTCGCTCGGCAAGCCAAGGAGGCTGCTCGCAAGGCGCATCAGGAGGGTCGCGATCAGGTTGTGGCCGAGTTCCTGGCATCAGACACGTTTCAGGAAGAAGCCTTCGCTCGCATGAATGATTTGATCAAGGCATGGGGGCAGACTCCCGAAAGGAAGGCATTCGCTCGCTCTGAGGGACGTCGTGGTACAACCTTGGTCTGTTCCGAGCGCAGCAAGTCCTTTCGAACAGGTTCCTTGCCGGGGAGGACTTCCCTAAACCGTGCGACAATCTTGATGAGTTCGACACTTCCATCTACTACCCGAATGGCGGGAACCCGACCGGCGAGCAGATGAATGCCGAGTGATGTGCCTAAATTTGTCGTTGTCTGATGTAATACTTGCTCATGACTTTGTTATTTTGGATTCGGATTCTCACTTTGTATGGATATGCTATGTTTTCTCTTTTGCCCTTTATTTTACTGCCTTCGTCCTTCCCCTTCACTTGCGCGCTCGCCAATCCCCCCCTTCGACCTGGGCTCGGCCATGCCGAAGAGAGGTCATCTTGGAACTTGGTCCCTTTTCTGTCCCCTCGTTAACCGAGATGACCTTGGGACTTGGGACCTTTTGACCTGCCGCTAGTTTGACCGTCCCCTTGTGCCACGTGTACCTTCCCCCTTGGCAAGATGCCTATATAAAGGGGGGGTCCTCACAATGTTTTTGCACTCATTCTTAAATTCCTCCAAATTTTGCCATGTCTCACTCGGCCCCCACTCCCCCCGATTCCAGTGAGATGCGAGGAGAGACGTTCTCCTTCGGTAGCTACTCCCTCGAGGGCTCTTCTGCCATTCCGACCAAGTCGAAGCCGAGCTCGCCCCGCCGCCCTCACCGCGGGACACTTGGGACTCGGACTCTGAGTCTGAGTCGGTGCACCCCGATCCTTTTGCCAAGATCCCGGGGTTCATTTACTATTCGTCGGAGGAGGACGAGAAGACCCCATCTCCGCTGGCCCGTCATGAGGTCGCCGCTCCCCCGGTTCCTGCCAGCCGCCGGGGCCGAGGCCGCCGCCCTCCAGCTCCTCCGGCAGCGGTTCCGAGCGAGAGCTCCGTGGAATCCCACCATCCGAGCCGGCACTCAATTGAAGACCCGGGATCGCCCAGCTTCGACGAGTCTACTGGTCACTCTGTCGTCAGTAGGGCCCCTTCTCCGCCTTCCTACCCCCCACTTTGCCCATGCGAGCAGGGGTGGAACTGTGGCATGCATTGAAGTCCACTTGTATTTTGATTATTGTAATGCGTTTTACTTGTTGTAAGACGTTTGTGCAATGTACTTGCCCCCTTTTCAGGAATGGATAAAATTCAAATTTGATCTTGCTTTGTTTTCGTTTTTTGCCATTAGCCTGAAGGGTTGCGCTCGGCCTTCCTCCTAAGGGGGCGTGCCGAGCACAGACGTTTGATCTTCGTCCAGGAAAATCGTCCGGGTATGATCTGCGCTCGGCTCTTCTCCCGAGGAGGAGCGTCGAGCACGGATGTTTGACCTTCATCTAGGAAGAACATCCGGGTATGGTCTGCGCTCGGCTTCTCCTGAGGAGGAGTATGGATGTGGTCTATGCTCGGATCTTCTCCTGAGGAGGAGTGCCGAGCACGAATGTGACCTTCATCCGGGAAAAACGTCCGGGTATGGTCTGCGCTTGGCTCTTCTCCCGAGGAGGAGTGCCGAGCACGGATGTTTGACCTTCATCCGGGAAGAACGTCTGAGTATGGTCTACGCTCAGCTCTTCTCCTGAGGAGGAGTGCCGAGCACGAATGTGACCTTCATCTGGAAAGAACGTCTGGGTATGGTCTGCACTCGGCTCTTCTCTTGAGGAGGAGTGCCGAGCACGAATGTTTAGACCTTCACCAGGGGAAAACGTCCGGGTATGGTCTGTGCTCGGCTCTTCTTCTGGGGAGGAGTGCCGAGCACATATTGTTAGACCTTCGCCCGGGGAAAACATTTGGACAGTGTTGGCCCTTGTTTGCAAAAATTCCATTTCATTGAATTCAATCAGAAGGTTTACGGGTTCCCCTATTTTGGGGGCCGTGTACATTCGAAATCTACTGATAGAACTTAACCAAGTTCTCGGCATTCCAAGTCCTGGGCACATCCCCTCCACTCGGCGTCTGCAGGCGGAACGTCGAGGGGCCTACCACTTCTTTGATGATGTAAGGGCCTTCGTAATTCTTGGCAAATTTTCCATCTTCTAGGGGGCGGCTTACGAACCTCTTGCGCAGCACCCAATCTCCTTCGATGAACCCCCGTGCGTGCACATGCCCGTCACGGTAGCTCTTCACCTTTTTTCGGTAATTCTCTGCCCGTATGAAGGCCGCTTCTCGCCTCTCGTGTAGGAGATGGAGCTCGGCTGCCAGGGCTTCTTCGTTACGCTCAGGGTCGAAGATCTCCTCCTGGTGAGTTGCGATGGAGATCTCTACAGGGGCCCTTGCCTCGAATCCGTAGCACAAGGCGAAGGGGGTTTCCCCGGTTGCCCTCCTAGGCGTAGTCCGGTAGGTCCATAGGATATAAGGCAAATCCTCTGCCCACTCCCCTCCGCAGGCCTCCAACTTCTGCTTCAGCCCGTCGACTATTGTTGAGTTGGCATTCTCGACCTGTTCGTTCGTCTGAGGGTACCCAACCGACGCATAGTTGTGCTTGATCCCCCAACTTTCAAGGAAGTCGTTGAAGGGCTTGGACTCGAATTATGTCCCATTGTCTGTGATTATGTGCTCGGGTATGCCGAAGCGACAGATGACTTGCTTTGCGAGAAACTTCTGGCACTAAGCTCCGGTGATGCTTGCCAATGGGGCTGCTTCCACCCACTTGATGAAGTAGTCGATGGCTACAATGACGTACCTTATGTTCCCGGTGCCCCTAGGAAGTGCGCCCACGATGTCTACTCCCCACCGCGCGAATGGGATAGCCGTGCTGATGGGGGTATAGTTTGTTGAAGGCCTCCCCGGTACCTTCTGGAACTCTTGGCACACTTTACATTTCTTCACGAACTCCGCGCAATCCTTAACAATTGTTGGCCAAAAATACCCTTGGAGGGTTATCTTCCTTGACACCACGTAAGCCCTCTGGTGGGCGGAGCAGATTCCGGCGTGCACCTCCCCCATGACAAGTTTCGCTTCAGTTAGTCGAAGGCACCTGAGTAGCGTCCCGTTGTACGCTCGCTTGTATAGCTTCTCGCCTTCCAATGTATACCCCGGTGCCCTTGTCTGGACCAACTTGGCCTTTATTGCATCGTCCGGGAGGGCGCCATCCTTCAGGAAGGCAACTATGTCGTCCGTTCAATCTCTGGGCCGAGCACAGATCATTGCCACGGGGAAGGCATGGATGCTCGGCTCGGACAGCTCTTCCACGTTTGCCATCCGCCTGATGTGCTCGGGCGTGTTTGAGCTCAGCTTCGGCAAGAAATCTGCCTCGGCATTCTCCACCCGAGGGATCTGCTCGACACTATACACAGTGAAGCTTTTAAGAAGTTCTAAAGTCGTATCTCTGTATTTCTTCATTCTTTCGTCCTTCGCCTCGAACTCTCCCGAGACGTGGCCAACCACCAACATTGAATCACACTTTATCCTTAACTTTGTCGCGTTCATCCCGGCTGCTAGGCATAGCCCGCACAAGAGCGCTTCATATTCCGCCTCATTATTTGATGCCTTGAAGCCGAATCGGACTGAGTAATATGCTCTGAAGCCTTCGAGAGCGATGACTACCACTCCACCCCCCAAATTTTTGGCGGCGGAGGAGCCGTCGGTAAAAACTGTCCACCAATCATCGGTTTCAAGTTCCGGGCTCGACTCTTCTCGAGTGGTGCATTCTACCATGAAGTCGGCCAACGCTTGTCCCTTGATCGCCGGCCTTGGCTTGAACTCGATCTGGAAGGCTCCAAGGAACACCGCCCACTTGGACATGCAAGAGGGCGCGTTCAGACTCCTGAGCAGCGCACCTATGGGCTGTTGGGAGAGCACCTGGACCGGGTGAGCTTGGAAGTAAGGCGTCAACCGCTGCACAGTTGACACTACGGCTAGGACCGTCTTTTCGGCCACTGAGTACCTGAGCTCGGCACCCCTCAGTGTCTTCACCGTGTAGTACACTAGGTGCTGAGCTCCGCCTTTTTCTCGGACTAGGACCGAGCTTAGTGCCTTGGGCGACACTCGCAAATAAAGATACAAGGTCTCTCCGGGCTCGGGCTTGGGGAGGTCTGGCGGACAAAGGAGATAAGATTTCAGAGATTCAAAGGATTGCTGGCAGTCTTCCGTCCATACGAATCCTCGAGACTTTTTCACGGCTTGGAAGAAGGGAGCGGCTCGATCTGCCACTTTGGAGAGGAAATGGCTGAGCGTCGCCAACTTTCCGGTCAAGTGCTGCACTTCTTCGGGTTCAGCCGAAGGTTATACTTCTCCATAATCTTAAAAACTCCTTCTAAGTCTTCCGCATGGGTGGTCTCCTGCTTACTCTTCACGATCATGTCGTCGACGTACGCTTCCATGCTCTTCCCGAGGACGAGCGCGGAGAGCTTGCTCACCATCCTAGCGTAGGTTGCTCCGGCGTTCTTGAGCCCAAAAGGCATCACCTTGTAACAATACACTCCACCGGGGGTAGTGAAAGACGTCTTCTCTTCGTCTTCAGGGTGCATCCTTATTTGGGTACCCGCTGAAGGCGTCCATGAAACTCATGAGCTCGCAACCCGCCGTCTCGTATACCAGCTGGTCGATGTTCGGGTGTGGAAACGAATCCATTGGGCATGCTTTGTTTAGGTGGGTGTAGTCCACACACATCCTCCTAGTGTTTCCCTTCGGTGCCAACACTACGTTCGCCATCCACTCCGGGTACTTAACTTCTTTGATATGCCCAATGCTTTGGAGGGTGGTCACTTCCTTGGAGACAAACTCCCTCCGCTCGGACGAGAGGAACCGCTTCTTCTTCTTCACCGGCCTAGACTCCGGATTGACCGCCAGGCGGTGACATATGATCTTGGGGTCCACCCCCGGCATATCCCCGGGTCCCCATGCGAAGATCGTGCGGTAGGCGGAGAGCACGTCCACCAAGCGTTTCCGCTGGCTCCCTGTTAGGCTCGCCCCAACCTTAACCTTCCGCTCGGGTGTCCGCGGGTCGAGCTGTAACACCCCGGCCCCCACCCTGGCCGTAAGTGTTCGCTCATAGGATTGTAGACTGACCCCACAAACCAACACAAGCCTTTCCCGCGCACTATGTCCTCACTCGTGCGCGCCCAAGGAATTTCCCAAGGGGTCACCCATCCTAAAATTGCTCCAAGTCAAGCACGCTTAACTTTGGAGTTTCTAGGTGATGAGCTCCCGAAAAGAAGATGCACCTTGTTGGTATGAGTAAATACTATCAATCCTTTTGAGCCCTTCCATTCCCATCTTGATACGGGGTGTTACATTCACCCCCACTTAGGAATGCAACGTCCTCGTTGCATCCTTTTTTTTTTAAACCCATAGATCTTCCCCGCTAGGTGAACTAAGCTCTTTTTGGCTCGTCACGGTCGCAGGGTTGCTCTGATAACATTTGTAACACCCCGGCCCCCACCCTAGCCGTAAGTGTTCGCTCATAGGATTGTAGACTGACCCCACAAACCAACACAAGCCTTTCCCGCGCACTTTGTCCTCACTCGTGCGCGCCCAAGGAATTTCCCAGGGGGTCACCCATCCTAAAATTACTCCAGGTCAAGCACGCTTAACTTTGGAGTTTTTAGGTGATGAGCTCCCGAAAAGAAAATGCACCTTGTTGGTATGAGTAGTACTATCAATCCTTTTGAGCCCTTCCATTCCCATCTTGATACGGGGTATTACACGAGCGGCACTTCCTCGACTTCCTCGGCGGGCTCGGCCTTCGGTCGTGCTTCCAACTTGTGCATTTCCTCCAGCGCGTGCACGACCAGCGTCTCATCCCTTGGCAACTTCTTCGTGATTCGGACGTAGCACGATCGAGCTAACTTCTGGTTTCCCCTCGCCACCCCGATCCTGGACGGAGTGGGAAACTTCATGCACAAGTAGTACAGGGAGATCACACATTCCAAGTCCTCAAGGACGGGCCGTCCCAGAATCATGTTGTGCGCGCAGTTGATGCTTACAACCATGAACTCCATCTTCAGCTTGGGCTTGTGCGCACCATCCCCTATTATCACGGGCACGGCGATGACTCCCTCGGCCTCGATGGAGTCCCCCGTGAATTTGGAGAGAGAAGTGCGCATAGGCCTTAAGTCCTTGCGGTTCAAGCCGAGGTATTGGAATGTTTTCTCATACATTATGTTGACTGAGCTTCCCGTGTCCACCAAGGTGCGGTTCACTATGGCATCGTTAATCTCTATCCTTATGACCAATGTGTCTCGGTGGGGGCTCGGCGTGTTCGGAAGATCCTTCTCCGTGAATTGGATTTGTTCTAGTCTTCCAAGCTTGGGCGTCGGAGCCTGATGGACTTTGGCAACAAAGGCCATGTGCTTCCACCTCTTCCTTTGGGCGAAGGAGTCTCCGCCAATGTTTCCCTCATGGATAAACCCCACCGGATATCCTTGGGCTTCGGCTTCGTCTAGGTCATCGCACTCCCGCCCGATATGCCTCTTCTCGGGGTTCCTTGCTTGCGTCGCTACTGTGATCGGCTCTGTCGGCTTTCTCCAAGTTCTTCCTTCCGGCGGCCTCCGGGAGGAGGTTGCCCCATTGTCTCGTGGAGGCGGCCCTCGGGCGATGAGTCGCTGCATCTCCTTCTGAAGAGTGAAGCATTCCTTAGTGTTATGAGTGTTGTTGCGATGATACTCGCAATACTTGCTACCGCCGGACACCGCGTAGACCTCTACGTGAGGGAGCGGGGAGAGGGCAAGCTCTTGACCCGTCCCCACGTGCGCGCCCACGGAGTACACTCCGGCCGAGGGCGTCCTCGGGCCCGCGGTGTAGTCTTTCTTCTTCCTCCTCTTCTTCGCTATCTCCCCTGAATCTGCAGGAGCTCGCTTAATCGGCGCAGCCTCGGAGTCGAGAGCATCGTCGAACTCCTCCGAGGACAAGAACATAGCGCGTGCCAAGGTCTCTTGGTACGTGGGGGGGGGGAGGATTCTTGCGGAGCTCCTTCCTCACTTCCCCGCGGAGATGGGCCTCTTGGAACACGGCCACCAAAGCTTGGTCATCAGCCCCGTGCACGTCCCTAGCCTCCTTCTCCCACCGGACTATCAAGTCGCGGACCTTCTCTCCTTTGAGGATGCATATGTTGAGCAGGTGGGAGTAGGGCAGCCTTTGCCTTCTGTTGGCCGCAAAGTGCGTTAGGAACTTCTCCGCTAGCGTATCCCAGTCGTCAATGATTCCCTTCGGGAGCCGGTTGAACTAATCACACACAGAGCCTTCCAGTGTCGCGAGAAAACACCGGCACTTGACCTCGTCTGGGGTTTCCGCCGCTTCCATGGGGCGTAGAACTTAGACAAATGATCTTGGGGGTCCGTCGTTGTAACACCCCACCCTGGATGACCCGAGTCATCCAGACCAGAGTGCTAGTAAAATCGGGTTACTTGTAAAATATTTTTCTTCAAAAAAAAAATAATAAAAAATATTATATATTCTCTTTTTGATAACTAAAGGGAATTTAAAAAAAAACGTTTACCGCGTAAATTTAAAGTAAAATATCCACAGTTAATACAACCTTGGGTTCAAGCCCAAAAACAAGTAAAATTTAGTTCGTCGTTTTATTCCTTATTAAATATTAAATAACAACTCCTTTGGCACGGCCTCCACGTCTAAGTTATCCTCCTCAGCAGTCGTTCCCCTTGCTAGTACCTGCGTGCAGTAAAAAAAACTACACGCTCAGCAAAGCTGAGTGGCAAATAACCAATAAACATATATAACATGTAAATATATTTTAGGGCATTTTAAGTTATTTATGTTTTACGAGCTTTTTACATAATTAAAATTATTGAGTAAGTAATCTCACTTTGAAAGGTTATTTAGAAAACACTTGACCTACTAGGTTAACCCTTTACTAGAGACTAAGTCGTGACTAGGCTGGAACACCGCACTAGTCGATACGTAGTTTTACTTCGGATACCTCCCCGTGACCTCGGGTCCGGTCATCAGAAGTGAACCCTAGACCCACGGGGTCATCGTCGGGTTCTCGTGCGCACATTGTGGTATGATTGTTTATAGGCTCATCCACAAGGACACGGTCCGGCCTTGAAAGTGGTTGACCCACTTAGTAAAACGTGACAGTACCTGGTCAGGGTAAGTCGTTCAAATCGATATCGAAATTCTTTTTTTTTTCGCCCTAACTGTCTGGTTAACCATAGAATGATCTTTTGAATAAACTACTTTTAATGTCTTAAAAGGATGAATCATTACCGATTCATTTCTTTAGGTCCCCATTTAATACAAGCAAAACCCATTAAACGGTACTTGTACATAAATTTAGCATACAAGTTGTATCGATTTTCAAGGTATTTGTAAAAACATTTTTTTTGAATTCAAACATGTAGGTAACAACCCATTCCTGTTAAACATTACAAACGTTTAATTTGCAGAAGTAAATATCAACTTTTTATTCATTTATAAATTCCAAAGCAATATACTGGTTTTCATTCATTTAACCCCTTTTTTTTAGTAACAAAACATCCAGACTTTTAAAGTACTCATCTATGTGTATGCGTACATTTCAAAAGGAAAGAAAAACAATGATTTACACACACAATAGCAAATTTCGAATTTGTTTCTTTAAACATTGGCATATGCGTATATACTATATACAGTATATGTGTGCGTGTGTGTTTAGATATCATATAAGGAGAATATTTATTATTATTTTTTACCAGTGCCGAAGGTTTACTGTACTATAAACAAAATATATATATATTTTTAGAAAATTAGGGATGTACAAACATGGCGTGGATATAGATGATACACAATTTGCATGTTATTTCATTATTATTTATTTTTCCTTTCTTTGAAATCTGAATCACTATTGATATATATATAAGAAAGAATGCACAAAAATATATGAACATGTAATATACGGCTAAAGGTTAGGGTCAACGGCACACCTTTGATGTTGTTAACGCGTAAGTAACTTTAACGGTACGCCGACAGCAACGCCCTCCTACCTTCTTCAATCTAACCTCTCCACCACTCTTACTTAGGAACTACTCTAAGCTACCCATTTTAGGCCCTTATTTATAGGTGGATGGGTGGGAAAATGGATGGTCTCAAAAACAAATATTATATTATTTTTTTTAATGCATCTATTTGATAAACTAAAGGACATTCATTATCAATATCTTAAATGAGATGCATGGATCAAAAGGGTTACACTAGCTAGGCGTGACTACCAAGGAAAAACAAAAAAAAAGTTCTCTTGCTCCTATGGTTCAATATTACGAATTTGATTTCACAGTTTCAGCTGTCCAATTTTAGAAAAAAAATTATAAAACCTATATTATTGGGTTCCATATTTTTCACATATCACTTTAATATAATTTGTTTGTCAATAAAATAAGTTAATTTGAATGGTAGAGACCCAACTAATTTTTCTTTTATGCCCTTCTACTTTACTCTGTTGGGTTTCTAATAGAGACCCAACTAATTTAACTTTTATTATTATTATTATTATTATTATTATTATTATTATTATTATTATTATTTTCGCATATATATATTTTTATTACTATTATTTTTTTTTTGTTTTCATTTCTTTGTACTAAAGAGTTAAAATTTCTAGACCGGTTCTCAGGGCGTTACAGTCGTTCCGTTGTAGGCCTTGATCTACCACGGACGAAAGTTTACCGGTAGCGGAATCGACATAACCCTTGGAGTGAACGGGGTTACCGTCCGCAAGATGGGCTGGCTGTAGGGAGCCCTGGTCTCTACTTGGCGCTTGAGCTCGGCGATCTCACGAGCGAGCTGAGATACCCCTTAGTCAGAGACCTTTGTCTTCTCAGTTCTCGTCGGACTATGGCGACACTGGGTAAGCTCGTCCTGCCTTTCTCCGCTCCGCTCGGGCCTCGCAGTGCGAGCATCCGATGTTGCGGACTCCGCCTGCCTTCGGTTATTTGTCGGCGGAGGTCGCCCGGGCAACCGTCCGGTCCGCGGTCGAGCCTGTCAAAGGCCGACACCCGGGTCTCTTCACCTCCTAAGCGTCTGGAGGCTGACACTCGGCACTCGCTGGACTCATCGTCTTCCCCTTCCGGGACGTCCTCCACAATCACCTCCTCGATCGCCGGGGCCTTGCCGGGCCTCCTTCTGCTCCTCCGGGTCTTCTTCCCCTTGTGCTCGGAAGTGGCTGCGTGTTTGGTATGGGGGCCGGGAGGGGCTTTGCCAGCTCCGGCGTCGGGCACATTCCCACCCATGGCGGAAAGTGCCGCGACGGCTGCCTGGAGCTGCTCCGCGGTCACCCTCAAGCCGAACAAAGCCCAGACTGCGTCCGGAGTCGAACCGATACCTCCCGTACCATTGCCACTACCCGGCACGTTCTCCTCGCCAACTACGTAGCTGGTGGTGGGGACGTTGCTCCTTGTTTACACCATTCTCGCTTCCGGGAGTTAACCTACGAGTATATTCCTCTGCTCTCAATGAAAGCACCAATTTGATGGCTATAAACCACCGAGAATAAAGAATAATATAAGTTTTAGAGAGAGAGAATGCAAAGTAGGAGTTTATTCATTCTAAACTTGGATCCATTACAATGAATGGTCTCGCCCCTTTTATAGGGGATACAATACACACAGTCAAAGTTTCTCTGATCGAGGTTCGTCGCCTAGCGAACGTCATCTTTGTTATGCGTTGTCCCTTTCATCCCGTCGCTATCGCGTAGTCAACGTGGCCGGTCGCTATCACGATCCCTAGCCGAGCTCGCAGGCCGAGCCGAGCCCATAGGGCGAGCTGAGCTCATGGGCCGAGCAGAGAAGATCTTCCACGTGGCTGATGGGGTCCGGCTGTCGTGTCTTTTGGAGCCGTCCTCCATCAGTAGGTAGCTCCCGCAAGCCTACAAGGAGCCTGCTCTTAAAGCCCGAAAAACAACTCAAAAATGTTTCTCTCACTCCATGTCGTGGGGTTCGATCCTTGTTCATTGTTACGAATATGTCTCTCCAGAACAAATTGAGGTATGCCCTTCGAGCACTTAATTATGATGCTAATAGCAATGGTGCCCAGAAAAGTGATGGGGTTGGTCAAATTGTATGATTTGTGGGACAAAACACTCGTCATGATTTAATCACTATTGAATGTTTTTTAAAGTTTGTGCAGTGGAATTAAAATAAACTATGCAAAACAAATCAATCATATAAAATTGATTGGCAAAGTGCTATATCATCTTCTTTGTCACATGCGCACACACACAAAAGCAGGTGACGCAAATGTTGTCACATCACCAACTAGGCAGAATGCTATAACTATAAAAAGCTTAAAGAATAAAAAGTCTAACCTAAGATTTCTAACCTAGATCCATTTCAACTTATCACATCTCCAGCGAAATCACAGGGACAAACATTTTAACATCTCTCTAAGCTCAGTTCAACTTCTGGACGATATGATCACTCTCACGCTGATGATTTTCTTCATGAGGATTGCAACCTGTTCATGCAAGTATTGACTCTGGGACGCGACAAACACAATATAGATCAGTGTATATTTTCCCTCACAATTGCCCCAAGACATCTCAAGAAGTCTTGAGCACCAAGAAACTTCAAAAACTCTTGCGTGCCATGTTTAGGAAACTTCCCCAAAGACATGCACGCCAAGAATAGAAATTTCTAAAAGCCTTGGAATTCCTTTAACACAACTGGTCATTAATAGATAAATCCTACAAAGTATTTACAACTCCCAATAGGATTATACTTCACGCAACATTTAGCAATTTGACACAATTGTGTCCAAGCACAATAATTTGATGCATAAATTTACACATCTGTAAAACATAAAACATCATTCAGATCAAAATTTGGACGGTTTGTACACAAAAGCAAAAAAGGAGCCTTATAAAAGAAAAGGAGCTGAGAAACACCAACTTCTAATGTTCCAGCTCTGCTCTGTCTTGTTTTCCCAATTATTGCTTTGACCTACTACGAATAAATATTTAAAAAACAAAAAACGAAGCAAAATAAACAAAAACCAATCACTTCACAATGAATAAGAACATTCATCAACAATCACATTGTTGCAGATTTGAAGAGAGTTTTCACAAACCGTGCCTCCCTTTCTGACATCTCTGCTCCGTCTCTTCTTTCTAGGACTTGCTTTGGCCTGCTCCCACAACATTAAAAAAAACAACTTTATAGTACCACTATATCGACATGGGTGAAACTTTATGTGCCGGGAGAAAAAATACAATGGAATAGTAATAATTAATGCATCACATTTCTTCCCGCTCAATGGGGATGGAGGAGTTTAGAAGTTTAATCCACCCATCATTCTATTACTGGCTAGATGCTAAGATTGCAGGAAAATTCCTACTGGAATCCCAAAGTTCTCAGCAGTGAGACAAACAGATTGGGCAAAAAAGAGATTATCAGCTAAATAAGGAGCATATTTGCAAACTGGACACATGTGAGCCATGCCAATCAATTGCAAACACAAACACACAAGTTGTAAAGAGAATAGCTAAGCAGATGAGACTTACGTGGAAACATAATGGCCCTCATGGTAGTGCCCTCCCTTTGTGAAGTGGGCAGGTACATCCCTACACACACAAAAAAAAAAGAGACAAGTAAAAAAAATGAACCAAATAAAGGAACCACAACAACAGAAAAAGAGAATTAGAAAGAGAAAAGGAGTGGGACACACTCACACAGCAAGAACAGCCCGGATTGGCCTCTTTGGACCAATACATCTGCTGTACCAAAGCAGAGAACAACATTTCAGACCAGCAAGCGCCCTTTTATAGTCAAAAGTAAACCTGCAACACCAATAGCCATCGCTGCCTTTTCCCATGTCACAAGCATCAACCCATAAAAGACCAAATTCATTGCCGCCAACATGAAACAATGTGATCTCACAAACTCCCACGTCCTCCGGGAATGGCGCGCTAGGAGGTATCATTCCTTCCCTCAACAAATCCACCTCATGGTATTGACCTAGACGTATGTTGTGCCAAACTAATTTGTGTGCATTTGCTTTGATGTCCATGTAAAGATAGACAAAACGGCTGTCGAACGCAAAAGTGTGAGGGACTAGGCCAGGGATAGAAGAAGAGTCCAAAACAGCCCAGGAATTTGATTTTGGTGTGTACGTGTAAAATACATCAAGTTTGGGCAACAAAATGAATAAGAAATAAGAATCTTCTGGCTTCTCATCTACTACAACTGGAACAGCTGTTAAATTGTGGTAATCCCGCTTGACAGGACATGGAGGATCAGGAAGCGTGATCCATTCATCTGCAGTTTCAGGAAGCACCTCCATAAATGCAGATTGTTCTTCTTTCATACCACCTATGGCATAAAGTGCACCATCAAGGACATGAAGTTGGGGTACCCATCGACCATATGTCATCAAAGGCAATCTAGTCCACTCACTCCCTGTAGCGGTATCCATACATAAAACAGATCTCTGACCATTGTTTTCTCTAGTGGCGCGATCAGGAAAATCCTGATGACATGTCCTGCAATTAGAGTTGACTCCCCCGGCATAATACATGCGAGACTTGTTAGCCATGAAGGCCGCGAAACGATGACAATGATCAAGAAGGCTAGTATGCTTTGCAACAAATGGGCACGGACCAGCATCAGTCCCAGAAACCAAAACCAAATCATCATCACCACCTGACATCTTAGACGGGAATAAGCCTTCATCAAAGGCATAAAACTCAACTTTGAAATAAGAGACGCTTTTATCTTGAACAGGCATCGCAAGTAAAACAACTTTTTGCAACTTCTCTGGCATTATTTCCTGTCTGATAGATGAATTGAGCAAAAAGCATCAGACTTCGATAGAAATTAATTGCAGTTTTGCTAAATATTAAATAAAACCATAATTAATTTAACATACTAATACTAGAAACAAGCCCATAACTGAAATGAATTGCCTTGTCCATAGCCATATGATATATTTTCCATTCATAGCTTAAAGCTTTATTTTTCTTTCTTTTAGTCTAAGGACAAAGAAACCATAGCGCAGAATCGCAGATAAAAGCAAATTACATCGTCTTTCATATAAGCAAAGATTGAAGTTTTATCATCACTCCTTGAAAAGAACAACATTCAGACAGAGAGAGTGAGAGAGTACTCGAGAGAGAGGCGCGCCGGTGATAAACGGCGGCGATTTTGGCTTTCCAAACGAAGAGTCTCGATTTTGGTTTGCACAACCCAAACCCTAATTTCTTTCTTCTGTCCCACCACCCGTCTTTTGCAAGTACTGTTAAGTCCGGTTTAAATTGATTGGTTTGTTTGAATGGTGATTTATATACTACGTATTTATGAGTAAATTCTATAAAAGATCTCCACCAGTTATATATCGTTTTACATATTTAGTTCTTACATATTAAATATTACTAATTTAGTCCCTAATTATTATATTCATTTTCACGAATGATCCTTTGTTAACATTTCTGTTAAGAACGTGGATAAAATTATAAATTCACACTCTTATTTCTCCTTAATTAAGCTTCCTTGTAATACCCCGTATCAAGATGGGAATGTGAAGAGCTCAAAAGGATTAATAGTACTACTCATACTAACAAGGTGCATCTTCTTTTCGAGAGCTCATCACTCAGAAACTCTAAAGTTAAGCACGCTTAACTTGGAGCAATTCTAGGATGGGTGACCCCCTGGGAAGTTTTCCTTGGACGCGCACGAGTGAGGACAAAGTGTGCGGAAAGACTTGTGTTGGTTTGTGGGGGCTAGTCTACAATCCTATGAGCGGACACTTACGGCTAGGGTGGGGGCCGGGGTGTTACAAATGGTATCAGAGCAACCCTGCGATCGTGACGGGCCAAAAGAGCTTAGTTCACCTAGCGGGGAAGATCTATGGGTTCAAAAAGAAAAAAGGATGCAACGAGGACGTTGCATTCCTAAGTGGAGGTGAATGTAATACCCCGTATTAAGATGGGAATGTGAAGAACTATTGATAGTACTACTCATACCAACAAGGTGCATCTTCTTTTCGAGAGCTCATCACTCAGAAACTCTAAAATTAAGCGTGCTTAACCTGGAGCAATTCTAAGATGGGTGACCCCCTGGGAAGTTTTCCTTGGGCACTCACGAGTGAGGACAAAGTGTGCGGAAAGACTTGTGTTGGTTTGTGGGGCTAGTCTACAATCCTATGAGCGGACACTTACAGCTAGGGTGGAGGCCGGGGTGTTACAAAAACTACACGCAAGTACTAGCAAGGGGAACAACTGCCGAGGAAAGCTTGGACGTGGAGGCCGTACCAAAGGAGTTCTTATTTAATATTTAATAATGAATAAAACGTCGAACTTAATTTTACTTTCTTTTTGGGCTTGAACCCAAGGTTGTATTAACTGTGGATGTTTTTACTTTAAGTTTACGCAGAAAACGTTTTTAAATTCTCTTTAGCTATCAAAAAGAGAATACATTTTGAAAAAATGATATTTTACAAATTAACCCGGTTTTACTAGCACTCTGTTCAGGATGACTCGGGTCATCCAGGGTGGGGTGTTACATTCCTCCCTCCCCTCGCATTCCTTTCTCAAACTTGTTGCTGGATTTGAAGCTTGGAACCCAAATTTGAAACCAGTAACCTTCATGAATGAATTTTAATGTTTGTTTTCTTTGCAGTTTCTTGAGACTAACCGATAAAACTCATCCATAAAGCTTATTGGTTTTGATTTTAGGTTCCATCAGGAAGACTAATAATTGAGAGAGGAATGATCATTTCAGTTTTGAGTTTAGAGCTTCAAAATCAGCGACGAATTTAGAAAGAGTACAAAAGGAGGGAGGAATCCAAAAGGAAAGAATCGCCTTTCTTCCTAAAAATCTTCTTCCTCATCATGCACTTTTTCAATGAAGGAAAGGAAATCTTTTTGTCCAAATCTTCTTCCCTAGCTGGAAAACTTTTCCGCTACTACTCTTCACCAAAAAGATCCCGAGAAAAAATTTTATTTTGCCATTTTGACGGTCTTCTCCACCAAAAAAATTCCGAAGAATCTGCTCTTACTATTACTCCGGGTATGTCTTCTCTTCTTTGCTGATTTGCCGAAGGAAAGCCTTCAATTAAGCCGGCCTGTTTTCTCCACCTAAAGGAAACTCTTGAATTTAGAAGCTCTGCATTTGGTCTTCTCTTCTTCACCGAAGGGGACTCAATATGCCCACTCAATCTTCTCTCTCTCCAAATTAAGAACGAAGATTCAAGAGGGCAATTTACAAGATTTAGTGTTAAGAGGTATGTTTCTTATATTTAAAATTTATTTCATTCATCCCCTTTTTTCATATTCATTTGATTTTTTTCTTTGATTTACCTTAATGACCTACAATTTCCTTAATCGTTTCATTGTATATTGCCTGGCACATTTTTGTTTGCTAAGCTCAAATATACCAATTTCCTTATTTACCAGTTTTCTCAATTTTTGTAACTATATATAAAATATTGTGTAATAAGGCTTACCAATATTTAACCCTTCTAGCGGGAAGAGATTCTGATGTTTGTCTTTCTCTCTGCCCAGATCCTTCGCCATTTTCTTCTCAGTCTCATATTCGCCGAGTCATTTGATTGCTCGCTTTTCTAGCATGGACAAAGAGGTTCTTTTATAATATAACATTTGTTCAAAGTTTATGGTTTTAGATATTTCGTTGTTGTGTTGATTAAAGAATTGTTTAATTCTTGCATCTTGAATTCTTAAGGATCATATGTTTCATACAGATTATTGAATTTGAAGCAAAAGCGAATATGATGGAGACTTGTGTGCAACCACATTTAAGAGAAATACAATTTCCAATTTATAACTATGTATATTTTGATGAAATATTTCACATTGGCTAGAATACTATCAAGGGTTTAAATGCTTTTGCATTAAGAAAACATAAAAAGAATCAAAATAGTCAAGCATTGTTTTGTAAGTTTTCCTTCAAGAGGTCAACCAACATAGAAGTGATACGGAGTATGGTTTTAGCCTCAAATAGCACTATTGCAATGTAAAAACGAGGCACTATATATATATATACACACACACGCACACTAGTATTTTGACCCGTGCCCCGCACAGTGGCGAACAAATTTTTTTGTCTAATCTAAAAAAAATTTATGAAATATTTTTTTTGGAATAAAGAAAATCTACTTCCCGCATGATTTTTAATGCCATAGACAAAAAACAAAGTGGAATAAATCATATTAGAGGAATTTAATGTGTACGCAACAAAAAAAATAAATACCAAATTTTTTGAAAGACTTTAGGGTATACAATATTTTTAGCATGGTTGCAAGGGTTTTTATTGTCATCTAAGAACAATATTTTAAATCATGTACTTGTCTTCGCTCGCAAAACAACAACATAAAGCTGACCATGAGTGAACACAAGCTTAGGTAAAATAATCAACAAATGACAATATTTGACCTCATTACATAGTATATTGCTTTGAATTGGATGTTTTAGTGTAAGATGAGATGGTTCTTTATAATCCAATTAACGAATGCATGTTTTTGCCATTCTGCCACTCTTTATAATGTCTGCCTGTTTTTGCACATAAGGCAAAAGATTGAACATTATACTGGTATGCTAAAAACTGGTCAGCTGTCAAACAACCTCTAAATGTTTGGCTAATGCGCTATCGTTTCAAAGAATTCGTCCAGTTTGACTCATTTTTAGTCAAACTAAATGAACTTTAACCATTAGTTACATTAAATTCGCAATGCATATTAATACAATAAAATACATTTCTCAAATTTTTTTGCAAGATAAATCTAATAAAATTATTTTTATATTAATATCTAATACGGAGTATAAATTTCATTTATTGATGATCAAATTAAAATTTGGCGAGTTTGACTCGAAAAAATCAAACTTGATGAATGTTCTCACAAAAGGAATAAAATCTTCTAAAATATTTAAAAAAGTGAAAACTAAATTTTGTAAATGTTTAAATTTGTGATTCTTTTTGTGACTAACATTTCTCACACATCAAATATCGTGTTATTAGTTTGTGTTTTTCGTATTATATAACCCTAAACTTTTCATAAAGTGCATACTCTTTTCAAACTTTAAAAAATGCATCATTAATTCCTATTCTCTTAATAAAGTGTGTGTTTTACCTCGAACCATTTAAAATGGCATGTTTTTCTACTTTCCCTAAACTTTCATAAGGGTGCCATTAATTCCTATTGGTTTCTTAAAGTGTGTGCTTACCACAAGCTAATACATATTCGGGATCAGAACAATGGAATGAGTTCGAGTTGTCATGTTTTGTCATTGTCCCAAAATAGATATAAAAATATAAAATACATAAGGGGAAGGCAATAATCCACGTTGACTTGCAAAGTAATGAAAAAATATATTTATAAGACAACATGAAAAAAATGCTACAACATGTGTTAAAAATTAGAGCTATAAGCTTCATAAAAACTATGAGCCACAAACTATGGTGGCACGGGTCAGAATGCTCCGAGTTTTTAGGGGTTCCGGTCTTAGTCCATTTTTAAGAATATTTGAGTTTAGATATTTATTTTTATATATCTTGGAGAAAATAAAAATTGTAATATTTTTTAGTATTATATCATTATACGAATAAAAAACAGATATATATTTTGGAATAAATGTGAAGTGTTTATATAGCCAGAAGTAAAAAAAGAAAGGTTAAACATGTTTTTGATTTCTGCAAAATTATTTATTTTTCTTTTTGTTGAAACACGGGTTTAATGTGTTTTCGTACTAAAGTCGTGTTTGTTTTTATGACAGGTTTTGATAATGCCAAACCGCCGTGAACGAGACAAGTTGTTGAATATACAAGGCAAGAAATAAATATAAGAAGAAAGCAAGAGAACAAGAGCTAAAAGAGACCATGAACGAAAACCGTAGTCTTTAGCGTCGTTGAGTCGGTCACAATGTGATTAAGAGCGACCCAAGCTTTGCACTTTGGCTCTTTAGGCTAAAACATTTTTTATTGCATTTTACATATCATCAAAATTATTTTCAAACATGCTTAAACATAGTAAAAACACTTGGTGTTCGCCCAAACCAAAAACCAAGTCATCCGGGGTTCGGCTTTCGGAAACCGGCGTTCGGCATTCGGTTATCGGCGTTGGTTTTTGGCGTCCGAACCAACCAAGTGGTTTTCAAATTTTTATTATTGGTTTTTACTTCTGGGCACATTTAAATAGTTTTCCATCAAAAACACTCTAAAAACCACCTTTCGTTTTTTGTCATTTGATAAAAACATGCGAAACGGCATAAACTTGGCTAGCAATGGTTTTTACTTAAATGAAGTGGTTTTCAATTCTTTTTGTGTGGGAATTGTTTTTTAATGCATTTAAATGGTTCTCCAATCAAAACATCATGAAAACCACCTTTCGGTTTTGTCTTTTGGTAAAAACCACCCGTGTACGGCGTTGACTTGGTCAACTGTGGTTTTTACCTTAACGACGTGGTTTTCAACTTACAAAGCCTTTTTTACATCACAATACATTAAATAAGTGTTCTATATACTTAGTTTTTACTTTGGAGAACTTTGCATTTTTCAATTCGGTCGGGTTTTAGCGTTGGTCGGCTAGGCCATGGTTCTGGGCTAGCTATCTACCCAGCGATGGTAGATATCACCCATCCATGGGTAAGTGATCCCGGGATTCCAGAATCATGCCACCCAGCGATGGGAGATATTGCCCAGCGATGGGTAAGCAGCCTTCAGCCCAATTGAATTCCAGAACCATGCCAAACAGCGATGGGAAGCTCTACCCATCGCTGTTCAAGCCTTGGTCCAACATTATCACAAGGCAGAATGCCCTTACCCAGAGATGGGAGATATTACCCATCCATGGGTAAGTGACTTCCCAGCGATGGGAGGATATTACCCAGCCATGGGAAGGCATGACCGTTGGAAGTCATTTAAGGCTGATTATTTCCTTGTTTGAAAGTCAACCTCTCACCCAGCGATGGGAAGCATTTACCCATCGATGGGTAGGTGACCGTTGGCTTCAAAACTGAAGGAAAATTGGCTTACCAGCGATGGGTAAGTCCAAACATCGATGGGAAGCCAATATCCTGCAGATCCATTTTTAATCAATCACATAAATCAAGCCAATCACCCCTTAAACGTTTTGATCCGTTGGAGCCTACTTTGGCACTATAAAAAGGGGTGTTTGGGTCTGCTTTAAACATCAACTCACTTCACAATTCTCCTACTTTCATTGCATTCAAACAACATCTTTTTCCATAGCTTTATAGAGCCAATTTGTGTGAAGTTTGAGTTGTTCTTGAGCGTATATTTTACTCAATATCTACTCTTATAGAGAGTCTTGTTCTTGAGTGTTTTTAGTGTTGTATACACGTTAAGGGAAGCTTGTTTCCTT